CAGCGTATCCTAGGCGAGGGCATATTGATTTGCACCTGTCCGTCCGTCTGTCTGTCTGTACGTTCACCCGTTCTTCTGTCTGTACCACCCCAAACTTGTTACTGTAGCCAAAATTCCCGTGTAGAGCAGTTCAGCTTATTTGTAGGTTTCTGAATCACCTGTAGAATGTTCTTCCTTCCTTCCAGCTTATTACATGTGAGGATTCGCCTACAGGTGAAATAAGCTTGTGTGTGTGTGATGCAGATACAGTAACACACACACACACACACACACACACACACACACACACACACACACAACAGAGTATTTTATCTTCATATCATCCATTCTGTTTATGATAGAAGATGGTGGTGATAAAGACATGGTAGATAGAAGATGGTGGTAGTGACGGTAGAAGATAGGGATGGTGGTGATAAAGAATGATGCAACTTGGCGGGAGGATGAATCATATGATGAGTGATACAGATGGTGATAGACTCTCTGGTTATCTCTCGTTATTGGTGAGGTGAGGTCAGGTCAGGTCTGAGGTAGTCTACTCCACCACCACCACCTCGACACAACCACCCAGAGGCAATCACAGCTGTAGATGGTTGGGCGGGCGGCGTTGGGTTCGTTCAAGTGTGTTTGTGTGTCTGTTTTAGTTTCCCTCCTTACCTCCTCCCTCCTCAACTCCTGCTTTTGAAGTTATTGATTCTGTGGCTCTTACGTGACAGGCAGAGATGCTGTCATGACACACGCCACGCGAGTCTGGGGGGGAGGAAGTATTTTTAGCTGACAGACATCACTGTTTTGAACTTAGGGTGTGTGTGTGTGTGTGTGTGTGTGTGTGTGTGTGTGTGTGTGTGTGTGTGTGTGTGTGTGTGTGTGTGTGTGTGTGTGTGTGTGTGTGTGTGTGTGTGTGTGTGTGTGTGTGTGTGTGTGTGTGTCTCTGTGTCTGTGTCTGTGTGTGTGTGTGTGTGTGTGTGTGTTCCCTAGGATATACTGCATTATGATGTGGATATGATGACTCGGTGTTGGGTGGCGTGGTTAGAATAATACGACAGTTGGTGTTGTTCCTGTGACGTGATGTTGTGTTTGCCGTGGTGGTGCTCCTCTGTATACACGGTGGGCTGCCTCTGCTGTGGCCTAACATTGGTCAGTCACGTCAACGCTCACCTCCTGCACGATGCTGTACTCCCCCCCCTACTGTTACTAACTGTCGTCTCTTGTTGCAAACCGCTTTCAGCCTTGTTTGATATGCATCTTGAGTAGTTAAAAGGCACCTGAGTTAAAAAAAATGATTCTGCAGATAGGGAAGTGATGGTTGTTGGGTGATGGTGGTGTAAGAAGTGGAGCTCGTGGTGTGTTGGGCAAGGTGGTAGATTAGCCAGGTGAAGAGCGTGAGTGTGCAAGACGATGCCTCGGGAGCGATGTGTGTGTGTGTGTGTGTGTACTTCCGGGTGTTCGCCTCCTTGGCCACCTTCAGTTGGTGCGTGACGATCCTTTTCTATTCTAACAAGTATTACGACGTCGGTGATGAGGGAGTCCCACCAGAGATAACGAAACACTGGGTTACCCTATTTGGAGGAGGAGTGACGGAATGTTAACACTTTACTGGTGAGGGCGAGAGAGAGGTGTTGGTAGTGTGACACGCCAGAGAACCTCAACCACTCAGTCCTCGTGTGAAGCGTTGAGAAATACTTTTAAGGGAAGCGGCACCACCACAATACACAGTGACAGCATTTAATCATAAGGGTATTTGTGTTGGTTGATAGGGAAGGGCGGCACCAGCAGGAGGAGGTGGTGGTGGGGAGGTGGGGTGGGGTGGGGTGGGGTGTACACTTGTTCTGTCACGTAGGTAGGTTAAGGTGATGTCTCCCAAGTGATTTAATCTGTTGTGGTCTTATATTTCAAAGCATCGTTTTGGTTGTCATCTCGGGGTATTATTTGCGCGGGCGGGCGGACGGTGGGTGGGTGGGTGGGCGGGCTGTATTGTCCCCGCCCACCACGCCTTCATGTGGAGGTTGTTGTATGCCATTATGTAGTTGTAGCGGTGTGTCGTGTGCCGCACTGTCTGACTGACTGGGACTTTTACACACCACCAACTCGTAGCCTCCCCCCATCCAGCACGCCCACTCGCCCTGGATACAGCTACCATGTGTCCTAGCCAGCCATATTGAGTGGTAAATTTGGTCCATTTCTACACATTTTTCGTATTTTCGTGGTAGTTTGTAGAGTCACTCCGATATAAGTGGTGGAAATTACACGTCACCTTTTGGACCTGTGGTTTGGCTACCTGAGGGGAAGGGAAGGAGGAGTTGGGAACCAGTGTTGTGGCAGGCGTAGGTACGACTCCTATAGAATATGACGTATTTTCTATATAGTAATGAGGAAGATAGAGTTTCACTAAACGGTAAGACAAATTTAGATAAAACAAGACGTAAATGGATGAAAAAAAAACATATTTCTAGTAACTGATAAGATAATGTTTTATATGACAAACGAACTTAATAGGGGTCAAGTCTTCCCTAACTAACATTATTGTGATTATTTTATTTATTATTATTTTATTAAATTTTCGATGGTGCAGTAGTTTGTAATCCAAGAAGCACATTTCTGAAACCGCTGGACCGATCTTAATGGGACGTTGGACTGAAGAACTGACTATCTATCTTGTAGTGTATTAAATTCCGTAACAAGTCAAGGTCACACTGGAAGGTCGGAAGGTCAGGAAAACTACGTGGGGGAATCGTCTGGAGAAAAAAAAATTTTGCCAGATTTACGTGTTAATGTATTTAAATTGTCAAATCGATCTTTCTTTTTTATTTTGTTTACATCAAGAATGTGCTGTTGTCGAGCTGTAGAGCTGACTGGTGAGAATAACTGGATCTCTCTCTCTCTCTCTCTCTCTGTGTGTCTCTCTCTCTCTCTCTCTCTCCTTACATTGTTGAGATTGGCAAGGTTAGAAAAACAAATGTGAAATGCCTTGATAGATAGTGATTAATGTAGGTCAGAATAGGTTAGCACTAGGGTGTTTAATCATCAGGTGAAAGAGAGAGAGAGAGAGAGAGAGGGGAGTGTATATAGGGAAGGTGTTGGCTGCCCTGGGTGTTGTTGTTAGGCCTTCTGGAAGGGTATAGGGTACAGGTTCAAAACAAGGAAAGATGCGACACACACAGACACACGGGGTTCTGAGAGTATAAATGCACCGTGTGACAGATGGCAGCTGCTGTGGCGGGTCTCTACACACTTTATTAAGTAGTGTGTCAGTCAGGCTGTAAACACGGGTATTGGCAGCCATCTTTGCTATTATTATTATTGTTGTTATTTTTTTTCTCACTTGGTGGTTCTAATTATTGCCTTTTGAGATGATGGTGAACGTGTGTGTGTGTGTGTGTGTGTGCGTGCGTGTGTGCGCGCGTGTAGCGGTGTGTGCGTAACGGTGTGTGTGTGTGGACCAGTTAGTTCATGTAGCAGTAGTGTCCAGGTGATGGGGTGACTGTATGGCCGGGTTTTTGTTCGAAATTAGGATGGTAACGGTAAGCTTAAACACAGAGAGCGTTTATGCTGAGGTTAGGGATAAAGCTGGTAACGATTGGTAAGCGTAGATAAACACAAACGTTTATTTTCGAGGTAACGTTAGGTAAGTTTGATAGCGTTAACACTGCAATTGAGTACTAGATGGTAGAGGAATGGTAGTGTATGGGGGTGCTGGTAGGTAGCTGAAGAGAGGTTTGGGGGGATCTGAGAGCTGGCCACTGTAGGGAGGGAGGGAACTAGGTAGGTGGTGATAGCGTCTAATAATAGGAGGTCAGTGTGGTTGTCGGGAGGTTCAGGAGGTGGGGTTGTAGCTTCCAGAACTCACTAGATAGAGGTTTTAGTATGGCGTTGAGGGCGTGAGGTGGTTATGTGGCCTTGTTGTTGTTGACGCTTAGGAGCACCTGAAGATTAATACCCCCCCACGAGGTGATTATACCTTAAGATTAAAAACATCCTATCTCTGCTTGGGAGGTTAGGTTGGGTTAGGTTATCGTCGGGGTGGTTAATCTTCAGGTGATCCTTTGCGTCACAGTTTATGTTCATGTGAGAGTGACTTAGATGGTATACTGTATAAATAGTGTGTGTGTGTGTGTGTGTTAGTTGTGGTCAGGAAATACCACCACCACCCTTCCCTTACCTGTTGGTTCGATATTCTTATATTTTAGATTGAAAACAAACACACACACACACACACACACACACACACACACACACTGCGCGCCGGTCAAAGTAATTTATAAAACTGGAACACTATGCAGAAGGTCGTGTTGTGGCGAGTCATATTGTAGCTTGATACACTCAGAGGTAAGGTACAGTCTCCTTCACTTGTGCGTTTACAGGGGGTCGCCAGGTTTTGTCCAGTGTGGGCAGCCGTGTGTTTGCTTACATAGGACAGACGGAAATTCACAATAACAAACATAATATGGAATCAAAGTAAAAACAATATTAAAACAAATATCTCAATGATTCGTGGAATGGTAATACGACGAGCCCCCTGTAGTGAAGGGAACTGTACCTGGGTATAATAACTAGAGGCTGTTAGCTTTGCCTTCCTGTATATGGGTAGAGTCGTCCCTCATTACCTTCATATATCAGTGCTTTGGGTATATTAAGTTCTGTCCATTGTCCAGTGCTTTGAGTATACTGTATTAAGTTCTGTCCATTGTCCAGTGCTCTGAGTATACTGTATTAAGTTCTGTCCATTGTCGAACAGAATCGGCTTTGATAGTATATGCAAGGGTGAGTGTATTCCTTTGTGTGTATGTATGTATATGTATGTAGAAGTAACAAAGTGAGTGTGTGCATGTATATATGTATGTATTTATGTATATGTATGTATAAGTAAATAAGGTCTTACTGGGAGTTGAATGCTTTTAGCTGTTAACTCACTACATAACACCTTGAAGGGTTATTATAAACATTAGTGTGACTGACTGAGTATGTATAAAATGCTAATCCACCTTTACTTCTTTTTATTCCAGGTAAGGTCACGAAGTAATGGAGGCAGACAACAAGGGGTAAGTATTTGTCGTTTTGTTGTGGAGGAATGATAACCGTGGGAAATATTAATAATGTCCGTGTGTGCTGTCATGACTTCCGGGTTTGGGTTGCTTACGGACTACTAGAAGGGGGAGGGGGGTGTTGGTTTGTGTATGTAGAGTGTTGTTTGTATGTACCACTAGAGGTGTTGGTTTGTGTATGTACTAGTTGTTTGTGTATGTACCACTAGAGTGTGTTGGTTTGTGTATGTACTACTAGAGGGGGTGTGTTGGTTTGTGTACGGACCACGGGGAGGGGGGGGGGTTGATTGGTCGTGTCGGCAACCCGGGCCCCTCATCTTCTCCGGTCGCTACTCTTGCCAGGATAAGGTAAAGTGGTGGCTCTCTTGTCCGAGCACCGATCATGTGAAAGAGCGGAGGGAGCCGTAGGACGTGAAGAAAACCTGCGTGAGGTGATGTGCGTGATCATCTCTGAGGCCGCCGTTGATACTCCTGATTTGTAAGTGATCTCTGCCTGTATCTTACCTGGCAGGACGTCTCCAGCACTCTCGCCTCTCACGCAACACCACACGACGCAACACCGACACCGACTCGTGTAACAGAGATCCTGGTTCGTGTAACACACACACTGGCTCACGTAACAGGTACAGGTTCGTGTAACTCATGTACATGTAGTTAATCCAGATGATATTAAATGTTAATTATTAATCCTTGAGATAAATATACGTACAGTACATAACAGGTGCCACTAAGGGATCAGGTTCACACTTGGCTCCACTCTATCTATTTTTTTGGGGTTAAGTTGTTTCAATATCAATTTCATAACAGCCCACGGCGCGGCTATAGTAGCGGTGACCAGCACTCCTCCAGGGACGACGCGCGAGGCTTGGTGTCAGCGTCAGACCCTGGAGTAGGTGATGTATCTTGGCTGTAGGTAGATGTGTTGACGGTCAATTGTTGGGGGTCAGGAGCACTCACAGTAAACATGGCTAGAGTAACAGTAGAAGACGAAACCTCTAGCGGTAGTGGAAGAAGAAACAGCAGTGAGGAGGTGTGCCGCGGAGAGTAGGTTGGTGGTGGTGGCTGGAGGGAGAGTGCGGTTGAACCTAATACCTGGCTGGCTCACACGTCACTCACCTCCGCCAAGTTAAACAGCATTAGTATAATATTGACGATGATAACCAGGCCTTTGTGTGAGGGTGGGTGGCTAGCTGGCTGGCTCCGTCAGCTGTAAAGACAAGCGACTCCCCGGCCATACCTGTTGTTATCGTCACGCCCTTTAAACTGTTAATCTCTTAATATTTTCTGCCGTCCTCCCCTTGTGTGGCAGCCTCCAAGAAATGTGTAATGGTACGGCGTCATGCCTCCAGACACGTTGGGAGGGGGATGAGGGGGCACTGCATCAGTTGCTGGTAGCGAAATTTATTCTCTCTTTAACACACCTGATTCTGGATGCTGAGTGGTCCCAGGTGGGTTTGGCAGCAGGTAAACACACACTTGACACTAGTGTTCCCAATGGTCCACACACTTCCTCCAGTGTCATCATCAGTAAACCTAAGCTGCAGTGTGTGGCGGCGGCGGTGGTGACTCACTGGGGGCGTTGTGTCTCAGTTTTCTCATTATGCAGTATATACAGTATAGATATTAATGTATATATGTATGAACACTATATTATATACAGTGTTGATGTATTGTCTGAACATTTTATTATATACATTATAGGTGTTGATGTATATGTATGAACATTTTATTATATACAGTATAGATATTAATGGATATATACGTACGAACACAAACTATAGGTATGGATGTGCAGTATATAGGTATGAACACTTTATCGTACACAGTATAGGTAATGATTTATATATATATATATATATATATATATATATATATATATATATATATATATATATATATATATATATATATTTATATATATATATATGTGCGTATGAACACACTTGTATATAGTACAGGTATTGAACACTTTAATGTTATGGCTGCCACTGCAACTTCCCGTTTCATTTATAGAGTTGAGGGAGAAGAGGAAAAAAATCATGGCTCATTGGCGTTCATGTATTGGGGAAGGGGAAGACCTGACACAGTGTTGATGGTACCTCTCTCTCTCTCTCTCTCTCAAGATTTTTAAGAGATTGTGTGTTTTAAGAGTAATTTTTTCAGTGACCAACTTGGGTTACTTGTGTGTTTTGAAGTGAAGCTCCCCACAGGTTATTTCACCATAAGCTTTAACTAACCCAACCTAACGATAATGTGAGTTGTTAAGGGGGGAGGGACAGGGGGAGGAGGAACCATACACAACGGAGCTCTTCGTAGCTAATGAGGAGAGTGTAATAGGTGTGTGGGGTAGACCCTGGCATACAGTGTCCAGACTTCATTCAGCATTACGTAAGGTTGAACGGCCTCGTGTGCATACATCCTCTTACATTGTGTTTCTGGGGACGATGGCGATTACCTGAAGATTGTTCGCCCCCTTCAGCTTCTTTTCACCTTTAGATTAACGTAACTTAACCTCATAGAATCTAACCTAACCTAACTTAGCCAATTTAAACTTAATCCAATATAACCTAAGCTAACTCCCCAGGTAGCGTTATGGTGGTTAGGTTAAGTTAGGTTAAGGTTGGGATAGAACTGGATGGGTGTGTGTGTGTGTGTGTCTAATCTTCAGGTGATCCGGTTTGATTTCCATTGTACACACCAGGTGGAGTTCCGGTCTGGGTGGGGTGTGATGGTGGTGGTGGTAGAGGGGTTGGTGGTAGTGTGGTGTTGTCACGTCTCTGTAGAGGTGTGGCAGTCATTGTGTTTATGTGAGAGAAGGAAGCACTGGTGTAAGAGGGTGTTGCAGCCTCCTCACCTCTCACCCCCCTGTACTGTACTATGTGATTGTATTATTAAGAGTACCATTAGAAGGACGGGTGTTGTACAGCGGTGGTCAGACAGACACATACACGTCCTAGGGCACCGCCTCCAACTTTTTACCCAGACTGTTCCTCCCAGCTGGTACACAGTGGAGTTGTCGGGTGTCGTCAATTACAGGATTATTGTCATGAAATCTCTGTAATTAATTTCGTGTTTGTGTGTGTTTGTAGCCTTTATGGTGTCATTATTCCGATTTTAAAATAGTTTTTAAAATAATTGTTCTAGATTTAATTACTCTGAAAGGAAATGTTGGAGAGGAAAATGGTTGATGTATTTGGAGGCGAAGTGGCAACTGAGGTTGGTTGGTTCCCGGTGTAGGGCTTGACCGGCCGCGCTGACTCAGTTCCTCGGAGTGCTCGTGGTGGGAAGGTGTGTGTGTGCTTGGGCAGTGGAGAAAATAATATAGATTTTTTTCATATTTTCGTGAATATTACGTTTTGAACTGGATGTGTCAAGAAACTGTATTAGCTACAAGTTGTCATTAGATCTTATATAAATAGATATACTCAGTGTATGAGGTGAAGAGGACTGCTGCTCCATCGTATAATCCCTTCAGTAGTGAATTGTTAAAGTGTTGGGTGTTACCGTGAACATATTGCCAGGCCACCATGAGTAGTTGAGTGTGTCGGCCACCCAACAGCTGACCACATCACCTTGCTGTTGTGGCTTCAGGCTACACTCCTGGCCTTGGGTCATGGACAGGCAAACACCCTATCTAGTCCAGGCTAGAAGGGGGGGACGCCAAATTGAGGAGGACGCCTCCCTCTGTGAGGTGAGGGGGAGATCAAGGTGAGGGGATGTCGAGATGAGGCAGATTCGAGAGTAAAAGAGACGGCTGAGTGTGGGATTCCAGGCTAGGGTGGGGGAGATGGCTTAGTGAGGGCGACGCGGGGGTGAGGAAGACCACGGAGTTAGGGCGATTCAAGGGTGAGGAAGACTGATGAGTAAGGGAGATTCATTGGTGAGGGAGACCGATGAGTCAGGGAGATTCAAGGGTGAGGAAGTGCCCTTTTAGAGAGCGACGTCAGGGTGAGGGGGACTCCTACACGAGGTGGATATCAAGGTGGGGGACCCGGGCGCAGGAAAGGGCAACAGGGTGGTGGTGAAGGGGACGACACCTAACACGATGGCATGGAGGACGTCAAGGTGAGTCAGACGCCAAATGTGAAGGTGACATCAGGGTGAGGAAGACACCAGCTCGGGGGCGAGGAGTGACGTCAGGGCGAGGAACACCAACTTGAGGGGGTGAGGAGGGTGACGTCAGGGTGAGGAAGACACCAGTATGAGTGTAACGTCAGCGCGAGGAAGACGTCAGGGTGACTTCAAGAGTGAGGGCGGCGTCAGGGTGAATAGGGAATGAGGGTGACATCAGAGTGAGGAGGGCGTGAGGGTGATGTCAAGAGGGAAGTTGAGGAGTAAAAGGGACAACACAACAGGGTGCAGGTGACGTCGGGTGTGTTGACTCTGGGGTGTGTATTAGTGTGTTTCTTTAATCCAGTGTGACGTCTTTTATTGTTTGGTAACTCACTCCCTCCTTCGTTCCCTTCCTTCCTTGGTAACTCCCCATCCCTTGGTATCTTGGTAACTCCCATCCTGCATTGGTAACTCCCTCCTTTGGTATCTTGGTAACTCCCTCCCTTCCTTCTTTGGTAACTCCCTCCCTCCCATCCTGCAATGGTAACTCCCTCCTTCCCTCTCCGCTTCCCCATTAAAAATCTTAATTTCTAAATCAAAGAGTGTTGGTTAAAGAAAAAGATCTCAGTTTATTTTACCTGCAATTTAACTCCTAATATTAAATTTAACCTAACTTAAACCTCCCTCCCCCAAAGGTAGTGTGAGGGTGGCTAATCTTCACTTGAATTAAGCTTAATATAACCGTAGATTAATATTAACGTGACCTAAATCTTATCAAACCTAATTTACCCTAACCCCCCACCTTTCACCTAGTGTTAGGGTGGCTAAGCTTCAGGTGAACTAATCAGGAGGAGGGTGGGGTGGGCGGTGGAAATATTTAAAGGTGACTCGTGCTCTTGGATATCTTAAGAGAAATGTTATGGCCGCAGCTGATTTCGTGTTTA